GAGCGTGAGACTCAAACCCTCGCTCGAGCGGACTGTAAAACATACCAACTTCTTGGTATATGCATTTCACGCTCGAGCGGAAACTTCCCCGCTCGAGCGGAGCGCATGTACTCAGAGTGCACGCTCGAGCATAAAGTTCCACGCTCGAACGTAGATCAAATTTCTGGAATTTCTAGATTTGATCACCAAGCTCAAATTCAACCTTTGAACATCCAAAACTCATTTTTTCTGGGCTAGAACTTGAAGAAACGCATAATAACTCATAAAACAACATGTTTAAAGTATCATTTCAAAAGATCATGGCCCAAAACATGCCAATTGTGCAAATATTCCAACACCAACTTCATGAACGTGCCTTAAATGCAACATGCAAGAACTTCCTTGAATTCAGACCTTTCAAAACATAATCAAACCTGGTAATTTAGTGGAAGACATGATGAATGACCAAAATGTAAATGAGGTTAACACATGCATGAAAGAAACCTTTGAAATCATCCTCAATTTGCAAGAAATGTGCATGCATGCAAGAATTTCTTGGAAAAACAACTTCGAATGCCATGAATTACACATGCATGGATGTATTGAGCTTCAATTCCCCAATCTTGGCTTAATTGACCACCTAACCCTCTTGAGTTCATTTACTTGGTGTCTCAAATACAAGGCTTAAGATTAAAATTCTTACCTAAGGTTGATTCCAAGTGAGATCCTAACCCAAAGCTTCAATCTCCTAGTCAAACCTTCAATTGAGCTCAACCACTCTCTACTCTTCCTCTCCCTCACGTTTTGCATCAAAGAAATGGAGGAGTGAAGTGAAAACATAAGCTAGTGGAGTCAAAATGGCATATTAAGTGGTAATTGGTCAAAAGTAAACAAATGGCACTATTTTAATCAAATTTAATCGCTCTGAACCGAATTTTAATTAAACTTACCATAAAATTCTATAAATTCTAATTATCACATAAATCAAGTCAATTCCTGATTCGAACGCCGATAAGACTTCCAATTCGCAAACCGAAACTAAAACGTGAACAGATCTTTCTACGCCTAACAGATATAAATACAACAATGCAACACACACACATGCATTCTAATTTAGTATTTCTCCTTAATTACTAATTAGGCACACATAATCATGGATTAACGTTAATCAGAGGTCGGGGTTATTACATATATTTACTAAGAAAATATTTGAAATTATTAAAAAAAAAAAGAGAAATGACTCGTAGCTCGAATTTCGTCCGGCTCGAATGGCCCAAACTGCCCAAAACGACGCCGTTTTAGGCAGTTTTTTTTTCCTTCTTTCTTTCTTTCATTTTCATTCTTTCGAACAGAGAGGAAAAAGGAGAGGAGAGAGAGAGAGAGAGAGAAAAGAGAGGAGAGAAGAGAAGAGGCGATCGACAGTGATTGTGGCGACGATCGATGGCCCGATCTCCTCTTTCAAACTTTTTTTTTTCTAAGTAGATCCGGATCTGAAAAAAAAATAATTTATTGATGATGATAATGTTGATTCGGATCTGCAGAGGAATTTTTTTTTATTTGTTGATGAAGATGATGATGATGTTGAAGATGATGATGATGTTGTTTTCTTCACATTTTTTTCTTCTTCTTCCTTTTCTTTTTCTTCTTCATTAGAAAAATCTGCACAAAATAAAAAGGAAAAAAAGGAAAAAAAAAGAAGAGAAGCATCAAAACGATGTCGTTTTGATGTCAGCCCATTCGCGCCACGCTAATTTCGAGCTACGAATCGGAACTGAAAAAAAAAATATAATTTTACTCATAATGCTGTGACACGGTAAGTGTCAATTTTTAATTTGTTACACATTTAGTCATGTACTATCTAAATCTTTTGTCACATCATTATTAATAAATTTATGCATCTAAAATTGTGAATGTCTACTATTTCACTTATTTTTATAGTCGTATGCCTTATCTTGATGGTTTTCAAAAATATAATAAAAATGAGGATAAATTACCTTAATCTCTCTAGAAATTTAAATATATATATATATATAGGGGTACTTACGAATAAATCTTAATAAATAGATTTATTGTTAATAGGTCCTATGTGAAAAATTTACCATAAAAAAATCACTAATTGTAAGTTTTAATGACAATTTATAAAATTCATGTCAAAAAAAGTCACTAATTGTCAATTTTTAGTGACATATATAAAAAATTGTCACAAAAATTATTTTTAGAGACAATTTACCGAGGTTTATTTTCAATAAGACTTGCTGGGAATTAAGTTCAACTATTAAGACCTATTAATAATTTATCTATATATATATATATATATAATTTCAATCAATATATATACAGTTAGTTAAGGCCCGGATTTTGTAGAGCAACCATATGGTTTATGGCTCGGTGGATGTGAGGTTTATCACCTCTAAAAGGCCATAGCAAGAGTATCTATAAAAGACAAAAGAAGGAATGACACAAGATAAGCCAGACATAAAATCTTAAATATCTCTCTTTTTCTCTCCCTATAAGTTTAGTCTATTAACTTAAGCATGGTATAAAAGGGCATTCCCTTGCAAGTTGATGGAGGTCGAGTTGGTACCATACAAATTTGAAAATCATCAAGTTTCAACATAATTACATCGATCTTTTTTTTAGTAAGGTAAAGACAGTAAAATAAATGCAAATCATGTAAAAATATAAAGATAAATATGGTAAAGTATATATTTTAATTTAAAATAAATAACAATATCATTTTTCAATGCATAGAACTAACAAATTATAATAAAAAAAATTAAATATTATATAAATTAAAACTTAAAATGAATCTAATGTAATTATAATTAACTTTTCTTTTTTCTTTTATCCAATAAATTTTAATGAAAGAATAAATTAGAAAGAAGGATTATCTCTGGTCACACAACAAGTGAACCATCCCCATCATATATTCTAAGATATAGCTGTTATTATTATCTTCCATTCTTTTCTTTCATTATGATTGTGGATGTTTTGGCATTGACTATTTTAATATTTTTTATTTTCTTTGATTTTTTTTAGAAGAAAGTATTTATAAAATATATATATTTTTAAATTTTTTATTAACTTTTTCTCATTCTTCGCAAATATATGTATGTTTCACTTAATAATACATGAGATTTTTTTAGCATGCATTTGTTTTAGGGAGAGACTATGGTACACATTCTTCAAAGGTGTATCATATACACCTAATAACTAAAGAAGAAAATGATATAACTTTATATTTTTTGAGTTATAATTTCAAAAAAAAAAAAAATCATAACCAAATGTCACATGAGGTATAATAAAAAATATAGCAAGTTACAACTAAAATATTGTCATAACTAAAAAAGAAAATTAGTCATAATTAAAAAAAAATGACATAACTAGTGTGTATATGGTGCACTCTTTCGAGGGATGTGTATAATAGAATTTTCTATCATTTTGTCATTAACATAGAAAATTATTAAGCACCTTAGGGATATTACGTGTTCTTGTCATTAATCAATCACCAATTATCGGATCTCCTACTGTTATTCTATGTCTTTACACAAAATGGTAGAACCCAATCTTCTACCAATCACTCTCTCTTAAACAACCTCTCCATTAACATTAACACAGGAGGGAAGGGGCTTTGTCTTTGCCATTAGATGACATTTTGTTTGTGTTTAAGAAAATAGATTGGCTCGAAGTTTTGGTATGCTTCTTAAGTGCAGAGAAATGGACAAATAGTACATCATCTGACAAGCCCACATGTTCTCTATCGATATCCCTCCCCAAGCAATTATATGCAGAGTTGGTTTTAAGAAATATCATTTCAGTTTGATAGGTTTTTAAAGATTGGAGTTGGACAAAGACTGTGAGTTACTACCTCTTGAGCTCAATGAAACAAAAATACACAAGAAAACCCTAAAATGAGCAGAAGTGAAGGGTTTTGGATACCCCTTGGAAGCAGAGAAGAGAAAATGACAGCATATATGTAAGCTCCCCATGTGTAGTGTATGATCCCAAAATTCCATGTTTGAAGCAGAGCAGACTTGAAATCAAGGTGGATCTGCCTCAAATTTAACAAAATGACCATGGTATTGTTCTTGTGTTGTGCCAATTACCTGGATCTGTAGGCTTAAGGCTTTGTTGTGCAACAATTAAAAAAATTATTTTAATACATTTAGTATTTATTTTAATTTGTATTAAAAAAAATTACTTTTTAAGTCCATCTAGCCTAGAGGGACCTGCAAGTGATTTTTTTTTCTTTTAAAAATCATTAAAAATAAATAAAAAAAACTACTGAAAAATCAAATGGTGCCAAATTGACTCTAATTGTCTCAAAAACTTCAACAGTTAAGAAATAGAGAATATATTACCCGCACAATGATAAAAAGAATAAAAAAAGGCAGATGAGATTTGAACCTAAAGCCTTTAGAATTAGAGCTCATACTATATAAGATTATCAAATGCCCTCAAAACTTTTTTTTATTTATTTTTATGGATGATTTACTTACAAACATTATGTAAATCAAAACACAAAACATGCAGCGGAATAAAGTGTTTAGATCATACCTCGTTTGATCTAAAACCTCGTGGATAAATCACGTGCTTCCATACTCAATCAATCAATCCCAGCAGTGGGGTGATATTACAATGGTGAATATCACCCACACAAACCACAGTGCAAAATGACTTTGATCGTTATTTTTGGGAGAGAGTCAGTTTATGGGTTGAAACAAAACCTACGTTGTTTCTCTCTTGGTTACCCATAACCATATATCAGATATATATTATATTTATCTCATTTATTCATTGATTAAATGAGATAATATCTGATATCTATATCATCTATCCATATCATGATATGATAGATATATATCCTGAGTGGCTCATCCAAATAGGTTTGAATTTAAATTCAAAACCCATTTGGATGAGGTTCAAAAGGTTCTAAGGGTCATGCCACATGGGCGCCCAATTTCTAACACATTACAATATAATTAGTTTAAATTATCAAAATAGATTTGAGAAATGCTCCCATGAGCTTAAAGCATGGTACTCTGACTATAAGGCAGAACACTCTCTGCAAATTCCATAGAATCCACCTTATAATCCAAACCGTTTATTTCATAAGATTTGTTGAGAAAATTATTTTTACAAAAAGTTATTGTGACAAAAACGAATTAGTGTACACTTATTAACGTGAGTTACCTTATTTTGGCCTCTTTCGGGAAAGCTAAAAAGAATCAGTTTAAAAATTTATTAACTTATTTAAGTTACATTATAATTCTACTTTTTTACACGTTTTTTTCACAAAAAAAAAAAATCACTTCTCAAAATAAGCTTTTGCATTTAAAAGTGAAAAAATAGAGTAACAAGTAGAGAAGCAAAACTCTTATATAAGAGTGTTTTGAGAAGTGAGTCAAAAATTAATTTTTATTTTTATTTTTTTGGTCTTATAAAAAATATTAAAACAAATGATATAACTTGAAAAAATCAAAATCTAAAAAAACCGACTTTTAACCCGTTGCTAAAATGGGCCACAACACAATGGTGAAAAAGAGGTGGTGGATTCTTCAAAAATACATCACCAACCTATCTTGCAACAGAGAAAGTAAAAATAAAATAAAAATAAATAAATAATAATAATAATAATCCCAAAAGAGAGAAAACAATGGGAAAATGAAAATAAAAAATAAATAAATAACAGTAGGTGACTCTGCTCTGCGTAAAGCTTTTTTTTCATTAACGATATATGCAGAGAGTGTGAAGGAGAGAGAGAGAGAGAGATGCTATGAAGTTGCGTTCCACCTACCCTTAGCTTTATTCTTCCATTGTCCCCACCACCCTACAGGCCACACCCTCCTTTTAGATTCTTCCTTTCATCTGCCTCTCTCTCTCTCTCTTCTCTTCCATCATTCACCCCACTCTCATCTCTCTCTCTCTAATAACTCATTCATGGCAATAGCAGACCTCGAGCTCCCATAACAATGGCGAGCTTACGACCATTCTTCACCAACTTCATCTCCCTCTTCCTCCTCCTCACTCACCTCGGCTGCTTCATCTTCTCATCCACCACCCATCACCACCACCACCACCCATTAAAAAAGAAACGAAACTCCTCTCCTCTCTCTCTCAAGCTCAAGCTCAAAACCACCAAAGCCCTCTCTTCCTCTTGGTCCTTCCTCAAACGGATCTTCACCCACAAACCCACCTCCCAAACCCACCCGAACCCGCCCACCACCCCCGCTAACATTATAATATGTCATAACTAACAGCACCTCCTTCCCAACACTCTTCCATCCTCCTCTCCCTTGCACAACCCGAACCTCTCCTTTCTGACCCTCCACGCAATCGCCCAGAATCCGACATATCATTGGGCCAACAATTCTTCCCCCTCCGAAACGATATCTACCCATGCCCCGCTTGCGGTGAGATTTTCCAGAAACCCAACCTTCTCGAACAACACCAAGCTATCAAGCACGCCATTTCGGAGCTCTTCGATGGCGATTCGGGTAAGAACATTGTTCGGATCATATTCAAAACGGGTTGGCCCCAGAACGCGAAGAATCCGAGTATCCATCGGATCCTTAAGATCCACATCAGCTCCAAAATACTGGCCCGGTTCGAAGAGTACAGGGAGAGCGTGAAACTAAAAGCCTCGCGAAACGGCGCCGTTTGGAGGCGTGACGAGCGGTGTATCGCCGATGGGAATGAGCTCTTGAGGTTTCACTGTGCAACTTTCTTGTGTGACTTGGGGCAAAATGGTAATTCCAACATCTGTAATCACCAGTACTGCAGTGTATGTGGGATTGTTAAGTCTGGCTTCTCACCCAAGATGGATGGAATTTCCACGCTATCGACCAGTTGGAGGGCACACGTGGCGATCCCTGATGAGATCGAGGAGGAGTTCAAGTTCATGCACGTGAAGCGCGCGATGCTCGTCTGCCGGGTCATTGCGGGTCGAGTCGGGTGCGATCCGGAGTTCGTGGATAAGGAAGATCCCGGGTTTGATTCGGTTGTCGGTAGGGGGTTGGGGGACCATCTGAGGTTGGACGAAGAAGATGAGCTGTTGGTTTTTAATCCGAGGGCTGTGCTTCCTTGCTTTGCGATCGTGTACACCGTTTGATTGTGAATTGTGATCGGGTGGCGTGTGTTCCATGGGGTTGTGGTGTTGTGTTGGTGTGGCTACAAGTTCACTCTCCACCGTTGATTTGGCCAAAAAGTGTCCTGTGAGTATAGCTAGGATGACTTGTTCTATGTTTAAGGTTGTCCTTTCTCTATTTGTGTTTAAAGCAAGCTTAAGTTATGCTAACCAGTTTGGGCTTGGGTTAATATTAAATGCTAAAGAGATTGTGTAAATCTAGGTATTTTTTATTTTCTAAGATTTTAAATATGATGTATAACTCCTTTAATCTTAAAAGCAATATTTATATTTAGATCATAAATATGAGTAAGAATTTAAATGAATAAAAAAAAAAACATGAAAGAAATATGCATAAAATATAAGTTAATTTTTTATTCTATTTTTTTATATATATATTTTTTTAAAATTTATGATTTGAATACAATTTTAAAGGTGTGAAAAAGAAGAATCGTTAAGTGACGGTTACAACAAATCGATCACAATTTATACAAATATAAATTGAATGACGGTAGCGTTGCTAGTGCCACCCAATCTCACTTGTATAGAGAATCAAAACCTCTCTCGTTTGTGATAGGACAAATCATAATAATGGAACGTTAGTGATTCTAACCGTAATTAGGTGAAAAGTATTTGTCTGCAGTTAAATTCATGTGACAGACAATAATGTGTTTTTCTTCAACTAAATATTTACCTTTACAAAATGAGAGTTGGAAATGTGGACCTAGAGAGTGAAACAATTTCAAATGCTTTGTTGACTTGTGCACTAAGCAATTGTGTTCGGTTCATTGTTTTGTTTCAGGATTTTGCGGGGAATGTTTTGTGTGGTTTTTTTTTGTTTTTTTTTTTTTTTGTTTTTTTTTAATGTATTGAGTGCTTAGGAAGCAGCATGTTGAATCTGTGAATCATGATAAGTACTTGCTCTTGGCCTATGAGTTCATGGTAAGTATTTGTTCTTGGGCTATGAGTTCAGTTTTTTTTTGGGGGAGGGGGTTGGTTGCATGGTAAGTACTTGTTCTTGGGCTATGAGTTCAGTTTTGAATACGGTTATGGCGTCCAGATTGATCAACTCGGACCGTTTCACGGCCATTGCGGTCGCGACCATACTGAATCCTCTCTTGCTCAAAGCCTTAACCGCATGATCAAGAGGCGATTGAGATTGAGATGGAGATGGATCGACTCCTCCAGGTTTGATCAGAAGCGTTTGATCAGGAAACATGCACTTGGACACAGAGTTAGGGTCCAGTACGCCGTCCACGCCGTGGATGGTGAGACGATCATTCAGGTAGAGATCAGGCGTTCAGTTTTTTGGGGGGGGGGTTGGGTTCTTGGGCTATGAGTTCATAATAAGTACTTGTTCTTGGGCTCCGAACTGTTCAAACCGTTCAATCCACATATAAATGGGTGATTTCATAAACATAATGTGGGCGGATACTATTTGAAATATGACAAATTTACGGGTTGCGAGCGGGTCGCTGGTTAAACCCGCAATTCACAAAAATCGCCCGCACTTTAATTATTATTATTATTTTTTATATATCAACTTTGTAACTCTAACAGGAGCACCATTATGTTCTTTATGACACTAACATTCTTATTTTTAAGTATTTCTCAACTTTCTTGATGTCATAGAATTATCAAATCCTAAACTTGGTTTCTTATATGATTTTTATTGATGACTCATCCACTTTTTCCTAATAAAATTTTCCTTCTGGTGGTCGATGAAGCTTCTAGTTTGATTATTGATTACTGAACTGACAATTTTAATTGAGTACAACCTTTAATGCATTGATATACATTTTTTTCATGGCAAAAATGCTACTGATATTCAATTTTTATTTATAAACTCATCAGAAAATTGTTATCAAATGATCACAAATATATAAAATGAATCTAATGCCTAAATTCTATGGGGAAAAAAAAAAAAACTTAAAAATTAATTTTTAAAGAAAAAAGTGTAAACCGCAAACCAATCGCATATCTACAAACCCTATCTGCACAAACCGCAAACCGCATTGCGGACGGTTGCGGGTTGGCTTTTTTCCAAACCGAATAGATGCGGGTGGGTCAAAATCGAACCGCAAACCGCACAAAACCGATCCACGAACACCCCTACTTCCGTGTTATGTTAATTTTATATTTATAAATAGATAGAGAGACGTCTTTTATATTATTTTTTAATTATTGTAAAAAGAATAAAGATTTAGAGTTTTAGTTTTAGAACTTTAAAAAGAGTTTTAATAATGTGATAAGTAATGAGATCCACATGTAATGTGTGTGCTTATGTTTTTGTTTTTGTTTTTTGTTTTTTGTTCTTTTTTTTCTTAGAGCTCTCTATCATTGTTGTTGTAAAAATTGCAATAATCGTGGACGTATCTTTATTATGAAGTAAACACATAAATTATAATATTTTTTGTGTGTATGATTTATTTAATTTATTTTAGAGTGTTGCTATTAACACCCCATCAATTATTTTGGACCTTTCATTTTTTAGCCTTTTTTTTTATTACAATAATAATCTCGAATAAAATTATTAAAAAAGACATCAAAAATTTTGGGATATCCTATCTCATAATTAAGCCAATACACCCATTACATCATGAGTTAGGGTTTATAAGAATATACACCTCCATCACTACCCATCAAGCTTTCTCAAATCCCACTTTCAAAATTTACCTGCCCTCAAAACCTTGAAAATCCTTTGACAACAATATTCTGACAGCAACAATGACAACTATTTAATTATATATACTTCTTTCGCAATGACAATGAGTGAAATTTTTTCCGACAACCACAATTCCATGAGACAATAAAAATTCAAAATATGTTCATAACTTTGATGGTGTTCTTAAAAGATATGGTTTTGTAAAAGTAAGTTTCTTGAAAAAAAATAACAAAAATAATAAAAAAATGTTTGTCGTTTTTTTGAGACTGAACTCTCGAACATATGACCAAAATTCGGAAACACAGGTCCGAACATTGTTTATTTGTTCAGGAATTGATAACCAAACATTTCCTATTTGTATGGGAACAACTAACCGAAGTACACGCAGAAGCAGGCAAACAAATGAGGTCAAATCACCCTTGAGTGGTCGATCAAAGAGTGAAATCCTACCTAGTTTTACTCACACAGAGTGCATACAAGTACAGTAAGGCAATAGATAAAACACAGAAAATCATTGTATCGTATGTGTGAAAAAAAAAAAAAAAGATCAAATAGATTGACAAACCTTGTAATGAATTAGAAAAAAAAAAAAATCTTAATCACTACAAATTTTTTTCACTGATTTTGAAAGATTCTACCGCCGTGGGTTTTGTTAAGGTTTTGAAAGAGAGATTTTTTGAGATGTGGTGGTGGTGCATTTGAATAGATAGAATATTTTTACAAAATTTTTTTTAATATTATTTGTAGAGTAAAAATAAGTTTTAAAGATTTTAAAATTTATAAGTGAATATTCAAAAGAAATAAAATAAAAAATTTAATATAATTGATAGAATACTAATAACAATGCTCTTATTTTATCCTCTTATATGTTATTTTATATCTCACCAATTTTATTAAAAAAAGTCAATTGCTAACCGCCCTCCCAAAATCGTAATTGGCTCAAACTACCCCATAGATTCAGCAAATTCAGATCGTTACTTTAATATTTCGGTCATTTCGATTAATTTTTAAGAATAATGTGCTTTTATTATACAACAATGATTCATCCCCCCTTTTCTTCCACCCCTTTGACCCCCTCTCTCTCATTGATTACATTTTCTTTTTCTTTTTCTTTTTCTTTTTCTTTTTTTTCCTGCTCTTCCAATCACCACCCGCCACGTGGCAAAGGGGTGAGGGGATGACCCCAAAAGGGGGTCCCAAGCATTATTCTTTATTATAAGTGCAATAAAAAAGTCTGTCTTTATTTGACACTTGTCCATGCTGAATTATGCCTGTGTGATGTGTCCATGCTGAATCCTATACATATATGTATATATATATTATTAAAAATAATATATTTATTCTTAATTTTTTTCACTCTTACATTACAAATATAAAATAGAATTGCAATCATTATAGCATTGTTAAAATAAATTGACCCAAACATCCGCTTTCACATTCCATAAATTCAACCTACAAAATTAAAATAGTCACTCACTTCCACAACTCCTCCTTTCCCCTCTGCCGTCTCTTTCTTATTCTATAAAAAAATAATGAATTTGGTTAGCTACAATTTTTTCTAATATCAATTTATAATTTAATATTTATATATTTATTTAAGTTACATTTTTATAGCAATTATCAAATGAGTGTTTATTTTATTGTGCTATAATTTAATTAAAAATTATTATATATATATATATAATTTACATTTTTATAGTACGATAGAGATAAAATTATTAAAATATACACAAATAATTTATTTAAAATTATTATGTGTTGATTTAAATAACACTTTTATAAACCATAGGACTAAGATTATCAAAATGAATAAATAAAAGTATTGTTTACCTTTAACTTTTTTCTCTCTCCTATGTTACGCATCTCTGTTTTTTTTTTCTTTTTTTTTTTTTATTAAAATTCCAAATCAATGCACCCTTGCCAAAATTCTTAAAACTTAATATTTAAAAGATTTCTACTTAATCTAAATTACTCATAAACAAAACTTAATAGAATTATACATATTAAAAATATTTTACCAATTAATTTTATTCTAATTTTTCATTTTTATAAAAAATTAAATATTAAAAATATTTATTTTTATGAAATTTATTATACTTATATATATATATATATATATGTAAGTTACATTTTTATAACACGATAGAGATAAAATTATTAGGGGGCATTTTTCATAAATCTTTTTTCACCTACTTATATTCCATTTAGTTCACATTATTTTCTTATGTTTCAATAAGTCTTATGGGTGACATACTTACTAAAATACCCCTAATAATATTCACATTTACATTGTGAATGTTCCGTGATGTGAATGCTTACACTATTAATGTGAATGTTAACAAGTCAATGTAAATATTCATATTGTCAATGTAATGTGAGCATTCACACGTCAATGTGAATATTCACATTGTAAAATATGAATATTCACATCACCAAATTGCGAACTATTCAAAAAATACTTGTAAGGGTAAAAATGTTCATAAAATATCTTAACTATGAGAATTAAGATTTGATTGATCAAATGTCCAAATAATAGGACTTATTAGAATATAAGAATATCTTATAGATTAATTGGGATGTAAACACTTGAAAAAGGATTTTCTAATAAATTTCTCAATTATTAA